TAGTACAATCTGTTTGGATGGCAACATCGTGTAAAATAATGCTATATGATTTTGCAACCATGCTACATGGCCAGGTCAATGACAGAAAAGCAAAAAAACAGACTGATGTGGCAAATTTTCATTGGAGAACGGGAAAAAATCATAAAAACATTCGATCATAGGCTGCCACATCAGTCTATTTTTTTCCCTGTTTGTTCAGCATTATTGTTGATTTTGATATGTATTTCTAACATTGTGAAAATAAAATGTAACAACTGTGGTTATGTTTGTTATGCTACGTTAATAAGTTTTGCACTATTTGCAACATGTTTGTCTATTATTTGATAGTTTAAAATCTTTAAGGAAACTGATTATTGAGTAAAGATAATCCACAATCGACCAATGTTTGTAAGTCCCTATTTGATACAGATTTTTATGAGAATAGATTCTGTAAAACGCGAGTTTTTAAAGAATGTGTGGTAAGAACGAGTTTGGAGAAAAAATGAATTTAGAAAAAACGGAGGTCAAATAGCGGCCATATTGTTGGGATTAAAAAGTTTTTTATTAATATTTTAATATATTTCAAGCAACATGATCCGATAATATGTATAAATTGTACAATTTGTTTAGATGGCAACATCGGAGAGTGTCATCCAATTAGAATAAAATAATGAACGCATGTTTTCGATATATTTTTCTAACACTAACGTGCAGATTATAGGAATTCTTTTATAATGTAAAATATTGATGAATTTGTGTAAGGAAAAATTAAAATTTATTCCACTCCATAATTTTCTTTTAACATAAATTTCGTAATAAATTTTTAGGAAAGAATTTATTAAAAAATTAATTTATAAATAAACAAAAATAAGTGGTGGGTAAGTGAATAATACTTATGATTCAATTGAAAATGAAATTTGACCATCTAAAAATGATTTATAAATTTTGATAAATACTAAAATTTTGTGCCCTATTATAGATTAGTTGGTTAAATATTTTTTCTCTTCAAAAATATATCTAGT